ATCGCTGCCCGAGAAGGCTCCCACATATCAAGGTGGTCGTTCTCACAAATTTCCAGCAGACCCTCAAATAAACAAAAACAACGACCCAGGCAGGCTTCCAGTTCAGCCTCCTCAATTTCTATGCACACCGAAAACTCATGGGGAGATTCTTTTGTCTCCCCGTGTCCTACACAATTCACCTCCAAATGATCCCCTACAATTGAAATTTCAGTGTGGAATGACGCAGAGATTAACATTCCCTTATTTATTTACTATATGTAACCTGAATTTTTCTCTCTCTTATCAAATAACAAAGGTTATCTTTAAAATTTGTTATTGAACTACTAATTAAGTTGCTTTTTATGGTATCAGTGGTAAACTACCCCTAAAAAGTCCACTTTATTGCGTGTTCATTGAGTTACTTCTATTAAGGCTATTTAACAAATTCAATTTACACATACTCATTAATCTATCACGCTTATTAGTGGCTCATGGTTGCTTAAAGCCTATGTCTGACTTGACCACAGAGTTAGAGCATCATTCAATCCTCTCCGGATGACCACTCCACTTACTCTGCATCCAGTCAGCTCATGAATTAACAACACTTGCAGACTGTAACCCTTTTATTTTTTATTTATGCCTTCAAATCCACCTTAAATCTTCTTACCTAAACGTTGGTTTTAAACACAAACAATTCTTATATTCTATTTTGAAACGCTGTCACCATTCATATATTTACAATGTTATTATATACTAAGCCAGCATTTTAATCGCAGACATTTATCCACATTTGCAAACAATAGTTATAGGGCTGAATAACACACAAAACCGAAAGCATAGTCCTCTCATGCGCTCTGCATCAGCTGCCTCATTTGCATGCACACACACTCTTCATCTAAGAATAGCAGCAGGCAGTCAGTGCATTACTGACTCGACACACAGCCTCCTCTCACACCAAATTTTCTTATTCTATATTACAACGACGTCTTATATTTACAACCACTGTCAGATCTGTCAGCTTTAGCGCCTACACAATTTCGACAAATTTAAAAATAACCGCCCAGCAGATAAACTCCCTGAGTTTTTTGCGATCAATTCACCAGTATCTGTCCAACAGTTTCTGGCCTCATCTCTAAACTCCCTAACTCAATTTAAAAGTGTCCAACACCCAAGGTCCAACCTTTGCTGCCCAAAAAAGCGCAGATACCGTTCCAAACGGTAAGGAGACTCTAACTCCTAGCTTAATTCCAGGATGCCCTGTACCCCACAGTTAAGCCACACTGAACTATCCCTCTTCGCCGAGAGGTCAATGTCGCGCGTCCACGACAAGGAGGGAGCGTAACCTCCGGGCTCTGCGCTTCCTAGAACCCCCTCGGTTCCGTTCTAAAATAATTTATAATACTTTGAAATAACAATCGACACCCAAAACAAGTGTATAACTGAAGCAGGTCCAACCTTATAACCAAAAAATAAGCAAATTCCCTAACATACTAAAATCATTAAGCAGTCCACTGCTTCCCACGGTCCAACCGTATTAAATCCTTTAAGCGGTCCAACCGCATTCAATCATTACCAGCAGTCCAACTGCTTTAGATCCTCCGACTCTTATCAAAATCAAAACAGACATCCACCAGTAACTTCAGTGAGTGGACTTAAATTTTATCATGTCCAATTTGGCACACTTTGGAAATAATTCAACAGGTAGTGCCTTACCTTTTGGATAAGCCGGCTTATGCCCACTCACTTCAACCACTGGAATTCATGTCTGCCCGTCTGACCACCTCGGACCACCGCTCACACTTCCACTTTTCTCCCTTACTCAACCACCGGACGAAGCCCCCAAATGTTAAGATTCAAGAATTGAGAAAGGGTACAAGAGGTGATCGAAAAATAACCACACTGGTCCGGCCGGGTGAAGTCAAACGAAGATTTTAATTCACACGTGGGAAGATCACTGAAAACAGCAATTGATCTTCGACTTACTAAGGCACAAACAATTATTTTATAACATCAGGGTTTGTTTACTGACGCCCCTTCATGCGTCACCGGTACATTTTATACATAGATCAGATCAACATCATCATGACTTTTCACCCAGAAAATCATCTTCTATTTTCATGGCTTGGTACTTTCCGTTCTTGTCTTAAAATGAATTGTTCCTCTTTCTTGTCTAGACCTAACTAATCTCTCCTCTAAATAAATCTTAACTAATGTGTGTGTACGTGTTGACCTCACATGCTCTTTGTGTCACCTCTTCACCTCCTACTGTCTGTGTCTCGTCCTCAAATGCTCTTTCTCAATTCACCTGTTGCACTTCTGACCTTTCACCAGGACAGAGGCTCACTGAGACTATGTGTATGTCTTCTACTAAATAAATGTTTTAACCAAGAACCTCTACTAAAACCTTAATATAAAATGACCTGATATAAGTGTTTTGTAAGCATGTATTGCAATTCCTTCTATGTTCTAGTTTTCCCTCAGCATGTATCACCTAGACACTCTCACTAGATGAAGCTCAAAACCATTAATGAACCTGAACATCAACTCAAATAAGCACAGATATGCAATATGTATAAAATAGTTATAACTGCGCCTGAAATACAAAGTTAACATCATCATAAACATCTTAAGGCCATCTTAAAGCTATCTGTTACATTGTTAAAGCAATGATCATACTGCAGATTATATTATGCTGGTCAAATACTTTTCTGTTCATCCCCACAGGGCACAGCACTGGAGTGGTTCAGGTCCTACTTGGCGGGGCGAACTTTTTTGTGTCAGCCTCGGTGACTATGTGTCGTCCTCCGCTCCCCTCTTGTGTGGTGTCCCACAGGGCTCAGTTCTAGGCCCCCTCCTCTTCTCTTTATATCTGCTTCCTCTTGGTTCTGTACTGAGAAAGCACAGCATTCCTTTCCACTTTTATGCTGATGACTGTCAGATCTATGTCCCTCTAAAGAAAAAAGGCAGATACCTTACACAGCCATTACTTCAGTGTCTCGATGACATTAAGACTTGGATGTCTGTTAACTTTTTAAAATTCAATGATAAAAAGACCGAGGTGATGGTTTTTGGCAGCCCCACTGAGACCCCCAATGTGTATGTAAATTCCCTGGCACAGTATGTTAAGCCAACTGTCACAAACCTGGGGGTCAAAGCGGACTGTGAACTGAAGCTTGACAGTCAAATTAAGGCAGTGGTAAAATCTAGCTTCTTTCACCTCAGGCAGCTGGCAAAAATAAAGCCAATTCTTTCACGGCAGCACTTTGAGACAGTGATCCACGCCTTTGTTAGCACTCGGCTGGATTACTGTAATGCACTTTATATTGGGGTGAGCGCATCATATATTAGTCATCTACAGAGGGTGCAAAATGCCGCAGCTCGTCTTTTAACTGGCACTCGAAAGTTTGAGCACATTTCCCCTGTTTTAGCTTCACGTCACTGGCTGCCCATTTCTTTTAGGATTCATTTTAAAATTCTTTTATTTACTTTTAAAACTCTCCATGGCCTAGCTCCATCTTATCTCTCTGAGCTGCTACAGCCTTATACACCCACCCGCTCTCTCAGGTCAGCTGATCAGCTGCTCCTGAAGATACCCAGGACTGGGCGTAAACTTAGAGGAGATCGTGCTTTTGCTGTAGCAGCTCCAAAACTGTGGAACGAGCTTCCTTTAGAGATTAGACAGGCCACTTCTTTATCTGTTTTTAAGTCACTCTTGAAAACCCACCTCTTTACCCTGACCTTTGACACCACGTGAGATGTTGGTTTTTATTTTTATTTTAGTTGTTTTTAGGTGATTCGATGCTGTTTTATCTTGTTTTGTTTTAATATAGGGCTGTTTTAATTTTATGTTTTATTTATTTATTTCGCTGCTTTCTGTTATTCTATTGTTTTAACTTATTTTCTGTACGGCACTTTGTTCCTGTGCTGGGTATTTTAAAGTGCTTTATAAATAAAATTGGATTGGATGGGGCCAGGTAAGCGACCAGAGACAGCTCCATAAGGAGTGGGTTAGCTAAGCCAGTTTTGTCGGTGCTGTCCAACGTCATGTACCGTTCATAGCTGGGTACAGTGATGCAGGTAGACAGAGGTTTGCCACATGATGCACTTAGCTCTCAGACAAAGTTTGGGAACATAGGAAGGCAGTTTTTAGATATTGCGGGGTCCAGTTGGAGGAAAAAGCCTGTGAACCGCGACAGCTTCTGAGCTGGCAGAGGAGAGGGCTAGTCCACCTGCAGCTTCTTAGCTGCACAGTGAATCAGGGGCTGACTGCCGAAGCAGTGGCGGCACATTGGGGCTGTGCACACGTCATCACAGATACTCTTCCTTAAAGGCGTGAATAAAGGTTTCCTCAGCCAGGACACGTGAGGGCATGATATCCCATACCACGTGTGTTGTACCGAGTGTATTGACTGAAATCAGAATCAGAATCAGAATACTTTATTCATCCCGAGGGAAATTAGGGGTTACAGCAGGCAGCACGCTAATGGCGCATGCGCACTCACAAAGGAACCTTCTGACCAACTTTACACAAACATCACATTGGGCAGACATGTCAGAAGGTAGGCTGATAGGAAAAAAAACAACGAAAATACACTACATGAGGTAAGAGGAGGAGAAAAAAAACTCCACTCAGACTGAGCTCCTAGTGGGAGAACAGTTTGATAAAAGAAAAAACACCTCAGCACAAAAGCACAAGGAACTACTTCAGCCTTTGGTTTAAAACTACTGTTAATAGAGGAAATTTGAAGGTTGAGTTTATTCCACGACTGCATTTCACTCACTGCCTCTGTTTGTTTCTCTTTCACTGCAGGACCAACATGGAGCGAGAAGTCAGCGCTCTCAGGAGGCTGACAAACCTCACAGAAGAAAGGAAGAGAAAACATACAGTTGTGATGAGTGTGGAAAGTCTTTTAACCAGTCTGGAAATTTAAAAACACACCAACTCATACACAGTGGAGTTAAAGCGCACAGCTGTGAGTTGTGTGGACAGTCTTTTACCCAGGCTGGACACTTAAAGACACACCAACTCATCCACAGTGGAGTTAAAGCATATAGCTGTGACTTGTGTGGAAAGTCTTTTACCCATGCTGGAAGCTTTAAAAGACACCAAATCATGCACAGTGGAGTTAAACCATACAACTGTGATTTGTGTGGAAAATCATTTACCTTGGCTGAAAGCTTAAAACAACACCAACTCATCCACAGTGGAGTTAAAGCGTACACCTGTGGGTTGTGTGGACAGTCTTTTACCCAGGCTGGACACTTAAAAAGACACGAACTCATCCACAGTGGAGTTAAAGCGTACAGCTGTGGGTTGTGTGGACAGTCTTTTCACCGTTCGGGAAACTTAGAAAGACACCAACTCATCCACAGTGGAGTTAAAGCATACAGCTGTGAGTTGTGTGGAAAGTCTTTTAACCGTCCTGGAAACTTAAAAACTCACCAACTCATACACAGCGGAGTTAAAGCGTACAGCTGTGACTTGTGTGGAAAGTCTTATACCCAGTCTGGAAATTTAAAAACACACCAACTCGTCCACAGTAGAGTTAAAGCGCACAGCTGTGACTTGTGTGGAAAGTCTTTTACCCTGGCTGGAAGTTTAAAAAAACACCAACTCGTCCACAGTGGAGTTAAAGCATACAGCTGTGAGTTGTGTGGAAAGTCTTTTAACCATCCTGGAAACTTAAAAACTCACCAACTCGTCCACAGTGGAGTTAAACCATACAGCTGTGAGTTGTGTGGAAAGTCTTTTAACCAGTCTGGAAGTTTAAAAACACACCAACTCGTCCACAGTGGAGTTAAAGCGTACAGCTGTGACTTGTGTGGAAAGTCTTTTAACCAGTCTGGAAGTTTAAAAACACACCAACTCATCCACAGTGGAGTTAAAGCGTACAGCTGTGACTTGTTTGGAAAGTCTTTTAACCAGTCTGCAAGCTTAAAAACACACCAACTCGTCCACAGTGGAGTTAAAGCGTACAGCTGTCACATTTGTGGAAAAACTTTCCGCTGGCTACTCAGCCGAAACATTCACCTACGCATTCACACCAAAAATGATGTTTACTGCTGTGATCAGTGTGGTAAAGCTTTTGTGACATACAAAAACTTACAGCACCACATGTTTACCCACACTGAGGAGAGACCTTATAAATGTGACCTCTGTGAGAAAACTTTTAAATCTCCACGTTACCTCAAATCACACCAAAAGATTCACAGCAGAAAGAAACTCTAAAAGTGCAGTTACTGTGAGGTATGTATTTTTCTTTTAACAGTTTTACAATTTTATATGAATGAAGTTTAATTTCAAAGCTTAAAAGTTTTAAAAGCTCCTCCCCTTTCTCTCTATCTAACATTCACACTCCAATGGATGCATCGGAGAGCAGGTTGGAGTCAGTATCTTGTGGGATGCAGAGTAGAGCATCCAGGGGTTTAATCACCAGTCTTCCCATTAAGTAGATTACCTACAAATGAAGACTTAATGTTGCCCAGTAAGCTGAGTGTTATAATGTAAACAGTAAGATATAATTGGACACTGGCACAGATACTCCTTATTTCAGGCGGTGTTAAAAATAAAAATGTTGAAAGAATTCCCTGACTTCCACTGTCTTTGTGTCTTTGTTTAGAAGCAGAGCGACACAGACTGATCCAGTTCTCAACCCTGTCGTCACTGTGGTAGTGGGAAAGAGTTTCTCTGTGACTTTTGTGAAAAAACTTTCAATCATCAAGAGAACCTAAACAACATCAACTCAGACACACTGGAGACAAAACGAACTACTGCAAAGAATATGGGAGAGGCTTCCCTAAACCAAGTGAATTAAACCAAAATTAACTCTGTCACATGGGGTCAAAAACCATCTCTCATTCACCACTGCGGATCATCTTAAAGTGCATGGAAGAGTCCACACAGGAGAGAAACCATACAAATGCAGAAACTGGGAGAAAAGTGTCTCGCTGTCAGGAAGTTGTAACAAACATGAACGTACATACATGGAGGGGAAACTACAGCTGTGACCAGTGTGACAAATCAAAACATTTCACACCCATTGATTTTGAAAACCTTCAATATGAACTAAAGCCATCAACAGGATGTGAAACGACCACTGATGTGACTTTATATCCAAGAAAAAGATAAAAAGTCAAGCTGATCTGGGTCTGGGCTGTACTTTGGTGTATTACCACCTTAAACAGTTTGATCTTTTTGTGGTTTCATTGACTCAGTTATGTCAGATTTCCTCTCTGTCCTGGTCTGGATGCTCATCTGTAAAGAAGTAAAACTCGGATGGTTCAGTGGTCTCTAGCAGCTGATTAGTGAGCCAGCACTTCTGTGTATCATGCAGTTGTGCTTCTTTTCCTCTTGTGTCGACTCAGCTCAGTTACTTGGTTAGAGGGTTCCACATATACAAGAATCCTTCCTGGAATCGTTTTTTGGTATGAGGTGTTCTTGGGAAGACGTCACACCACCACCACTGTGTCAGGCTGTTCCTGTGATCTTCTTTTAATGCCACGTGTAACGGGACTCAAATCTCTCGAAAAACTACAGCTTCCGTCTCATTTACCAACAAACATCATCCAGATGTTTGTTGTTAGATGTGAGATGAGCCTTTCTGTTGTTGAATCTCTCCCCCCATTGAATCTCTTATTGCTGAATCATGACCTCTGACCTTATCTAAGCTAAGTAAGGCCTGCAGGTCTTTAGATGATGATCTGGGTTCTTCAGTGACCTCCTGGATTAGTCATCGATGCACTCTTGCAGTATTTCTAGTCAGCCACTTGCTCCTGGGAGGCTTGAGTACTCTTCCATTTTTCCTGTAGTGTGGATAATGGCTCGTAGTTCGCTTGAGTCCCAAAGCCTTAGAAATGACTCTGTAACCTTTTCATACTGATGTCAGTGACTTTGTTTCTCTGCTGTTTCTTTTGATCGTATCATGATGTGCTGCTGTGTGAGGTCTTTCAGCCGGCTTCCATACATGGTCAGGTTGTTTTTCATACCTTTTTACCCTTAACAAATGAAACCATTTACAGACTATTTTCCACTGACCCAGGTAACCTTTGTCATATTTCTTTCCTTTTTGATCATCTGAAACATTCAAATGTTGAGTCCTTCAGGTGTAACCTTGACTGTTTTCCCAGTTGCAGCTTAAGCTAGGCTTAATCCTTCCTCTTTATACTACTGCTTAGCCACAACCAGCTGTGACAATGTTTATGGCTGGTTTGGTTAAAGTGCCAGTTTAGTAAATAGGAGAGGGCTCTCAATCCCACCAGTGCATAAAAACGTGAGTTCTCTGTCATTGCTCACTTTCTGTAAGAATGTCATGGCCCTGGGTCTTTTGACCCAGCGTTTTGTGTTTTCTATTATTGTGATGTATTTTGGTTCTGGTTTTCTCTTTCTTTGGGTTTTGGTTCTGTTCTTCCCCAGTTTAGTATTTAGGCTTTTCTGCCTGTGTATTCCTGTGTCAAGTCCGGATTTCTTAGTCTGTGTCTTTGCATGTGTGAGTTCCTGTTTTATTTTGTAGGTCTGTGTCTCTCGTCAGTGTTTCTAGTTTCACTCCCCTTGTCCCGTTATGTCCAATTACTCCCAGCCGTGCCTCCGTCTGTTTCAGGTCTGTTTTTGTTTAGCTTTTCCCAGTTTAGGTTACTCGCTGCTCTGTTTTTGTCACCCTCGCCTTTGTTTGTTATCTCACTGTCAATAAAGCTTCCTCACCTCAGTTGTGCTGCATCCTGGGTCCTTTAATAACTTACACCTGGCTCGCGTCGCGAACCCTGACAAAGAAAGCATGTTATCCTCAGGCAGAGCTGCAGACGATCAAGAATCCATAACTACTGGATGGTGGACGTTTCTCTAAGCAGACAGTCAGTTCTTGGGATGCCAGCTGGATGTAGTTTCACAACCTTTAACTTAATGTCTGTGTGTTTTTAACATCTTATGCTCTGGTTTAACTTTTAAACAACCTGATTAATGAAAGCACATCTTTTGACCACCCTGTTTGTCATCAGCGGTGGCTTTAGGATCATCCTCACCTGCTCATGGTTGCAGTTGTTTATCGGTTGAATTGGCATTTACTTTATAGTGTGATAAGATGTTAATAAGCGTATAAAGCTGTAAAGCCTCTTGAGTGACTTAAATCGCCTTTCTTCCTCAGTGTGATGCTCAATGTGAACTGCAGGTCGTCTTGATGATGTCTATATGCCTTAACGCATTGAGTTTCTTCAATATCATTGGTTAATTAGATATTTAGATTGATAAGCAGCCGAAATTGTGGACCTACTAAAGTGACCAGTGAGTATACAGTCTGGTTATCATCATGTTTAACTTTGTTCACATGCACTGATGAATGAACAGCTGATGGCTGTAGCATAACACCCACTGTAGAAAACGGTATTCGTTATCAGGAAACATTAAATGCTGAGTGTAAATGCGGCATCAAGGGCATCGACAAAAAAAAAAAATGCTCGTATTGGGAATGGCATGGGCACCGATCGGTTTTCTATCGCCCATTTGCTGGGAGTAAGGGCGCCCTCCGTTTGCGAGGTGCGCCTGCTGCTTGCGGCACAAGGAGGAGAGGGCGGGGCGGCGGGGGAATCTCTGAACGGCTGTAGCAGCATCTAATAACCAACTCGCAAAAGAAAACAAAATAAAAACAAACCAACAAACACGAACACACCAGACATCATGATACAGACTTATAATTTGCACCGATTTTTTTTCGAAATTCTATACTCGAAAAGTGAGCGCGAGAGCCCTCGGTGCGCCTGCTCGCTGCTGAAGTCAAAGTAAACTTTAATGTCATCTCCGCTACATACAGTCCAGAGAGACGAGACGACGAGGCTCCAGTTACAGCAGTGCAAGTAAACAAACAATATATATAAGAAGAGTAAGAAAATAAATATACACTTTAGGACCAGGGGTAAAGGGATCAATAACAATTTAAAATTTATAATTTACGTTTTGATGATTTAATGTCACACACAACCCGTCGAAAGGGGAGGGGGGCCGGCTGCTTCCAAATAGAGCACATTTCATTTATAATGATGTAAATCCAAGCCCATTATGGATTCAAGATTTGAATCTTGGGTTGTGTGAAATCCCAGAAATAAACCTTAGACAAAGTGAATCTGTGAACTAAGGTGTAGGTCTGTTAGGTTATGTTGTGGTGATCGTCGAGTTGGTGAATTTGTGTTCATTCTGGAGTGCAAAATTAAAACCAATGTAAGATGGACAAGAAAAGTTCAAAGCCATCAGGTCCTCAGTTTAGAAAAAAGAGAAAAGAGGAGGAGAAACGAGCAAAAGATGCAGGTAAGCAGACGTGTGATTGGATAATGGCAGGTCATCCTGAAACGGTCAGTGTCAGAATCAGAATACTTTATTAATCCCTAAGGAAATAATGTGGGTTACAGTTGCTCCAAGAAGAAATGGTAAAAATAGCAACAGTAACACACTAAACTGCAAACAGTACATTATGTTACAGATTTTAATATTAATTAGTCATTGTCAATTGTTGACTTGTCCTGTTCTCATTGTATGACGAATTATGATGGCTGTTTGTTAGCCGTTTGCATACAATGCATACTGTTGGGTCTAAAGTCAGACGTTTGTGTATTGTATGTACGGTCGGCAAGGTCTGTCATCTAGAATAGTAAGAAAGTGTCACAGTTTGTGTTGACAGACCATGGGGATGTGGAGAAGGAGGACCCAAAATGCAGGACTCTTCAGATGAAGCAGTGTCTTTATTTACAGTGTTGTAAATATGAACCACAATGAATCCCTGTGCATCCCACACTCCTGTGCTGTGTTCCCTCTCACTGTCTGTGCTCTGAAACTCTGTTTTCTAGTTTCCATGCACCCGTACTTGCTGCCCTCTCGTCTCCACACTCCTGCAGGAAGAACACAGCCGTAAATACTTCACACTATGGCAAACTCACACTAACTGACATCTCACTGGGAAACTGACAGGAAGTCTCACGCAACGATCCAGCATCGGAGAGAACTCAACCACACTCCTAAGTAGCTCTCCTGATGAAGCTTGACCAGCTGCACACACCTACACCCACAAACAAGAAAAACAAAGAAAAAACAAGGGACAGCAACACCAAATATACACATGTCCATAAACTATTCAAGAACCCCGGGTACCCAGACGCAGGTAAAGTGTATTTATTAAGCGCTTTTCATAGACAGGCGGTCACAAAGCGCTGCACAGGATTCTTATCATTCTTATTTTCTGGTTTGTTTGTTTCTTCCCCTTCTCATCCAGTCTGTCTCTGTGTGCTGTGATTAGTGTCCTTATGTTTGTTTACCTCCTACCTCCTTAGTCATGTCTTTGTATCTGTCTTGTGTCCAAATCTTTTTAAAGTGATGCTACATCAATGTGCTCACAGACATTTACCTTACACTATGTTCGAGTTACAGTGCATCATCTGTGAAATATAACAGAGATTACAACCTTCAGCCTTCAGTGAGCTTATGGTGAGCCTACAACGTTATTCGTTAACAACAAAGCAAACGAAGCATGGCTTGACAAGTCTAGAAGATAGTTCAAATTAAATGATTAATTCTAATCTATGTCTCAAAACCATGCAAACCAATGAGTAGTGGAAGAGGTGTAGCTAATGAAGTGGCCAGTCTGAGGGATCTCCCTCCTCCTCGCTGAGTTTCTTTTGCTGCTCTCCTTCGTGTCTTTATAAACTGGTGGTGTTGCCACAGTATTCCTACACGCATTACTGCTTTTATTTACCGATGTGCAATATCTGCACATGCTGCTCCTCTTTCTCACTGTCTGCAGCCCAAATGTGTTTTCTCAGGGCATCTGAGTCACGTGATCGCACAGTAACGAATCAAAGCAAATCAGGAAGAAGGGGGCGGAGCAAAGTGCGTGTGCAGGAGAGGAGTCGAGCAGAGAGAGCTGCTTTTTCATGAAACGGGAGTAAAGTAGTGACCTTAGAGGAAAGAAACAAACTAAAGTATCGATCATAAACCACTACCAACGTCCTGATCGATATCTGCATCGATCTGCCCACCCTTGTCTCCTGGATCGTAGCTGAGATCAGCGTGAACCACGTGGGTCTCTGCTCCCTGATCTGTTTCCTGTGTTTGGAAAGAGTTGCAGCTTCATCGCGGAGTTTCTCTCGGTTTGTGGGCTCATCTAAAGGTAAGCACCGAGCTAACTTTACTGTGAGTTCAGTTCATGTTGAGTTTAGCTCCTGAATGAGGTCTTCTGCTGCTCTCCTCGGTGTCTGTTCACAGTTTATTGTGAACACGTTGAGAGAAGAGTGAGAGAGTGTTTGGAGAAAAACACCAGCTAACCATTAGCTCAGCATGCTGGGAGAAGTTGGAGCAGAAAAGTCTTTTCATTGTCCCTGCAGCTGTTTTTCTGCAGCCTCGTTTCTATTTAAGTGATAACAGGAAGGTGTGTGTGTGTGTGTGTGTGTGTGTGTGTGTGTGTGTGTGTGTGTGTGTGTGTGTGTGTGTCCATGCTGCCCAGTCTCTTTTACTGTGTTTAAATTGCAGCTGCTAGAACACGGCTGTTCAACATCTATTCATTCAGTCACGTTTATTTCACATCTACAGACACGCATTTAGAATAGCCTTTATTGTCATTGTACAGAGTACAACGAAATTGGAGTGCCACTCCCTTGGTGCAAGTTTCAATAATAAATATAAATGTAAAATATAAAAGTACAAAAAAACAATCGTAGGTACTCAAACAATAGTATGTACAATATATACAGGATAGCAGCATTAATATAATGACAGTGACGGTATGGAATAGGTTCAATTGTTTTTGTGCTTATTTACTACGGTGATAGCTCTGGGAAAGAAGCTATCCCTGAATCTGTTTGTCCTGGTTTTATGTGACCTGTACCGTCGGCCTGACGGTAATAGTTCAAACAGTTGGTTGCTGGGGTGAGAGTAGTCCTTGATGATATTGCCAGCTCTGCTGAGGTACCGAGAGTTTGCAGTGACCTCCAGGCTGGGCAGAGAGCAGCCAGTGATCTTCTGGGCTGTGTTGATGACCCTCTGCAGTACTT